ACCCGACCATTTCTAAGATTCCTCTGGCTACTATGACCAAAAATTCTGGTATAGCTGACGATGATGCCGAGTCAAAGGCTCTCAAAACTGATGAGGAGAAGTTTGGCATGTGAGACGCAATTGTGTACGATGATTCAAATGACGTCGAGGGGGAGATGGTGCAGACTGATATGGAGGCGTCACTTCGAGATACATCTATTGTGGATCCAGTAGAGAAAAGTATGGTGTTGAGTTTGGAATTTATACCTAGACTGAGGGAGTCACTGATATGCAGAGTTCACCGCAGGCTTAGCCTGATAGGGGGATTTTGACTCTTTTTCAGTTTTCTGTTTAGACTTTTTATTTGTTTCGCAATTGAGGACAATTGCTTGTTTTATTTGGCGGGGTGAGTGCATTTGTACTTACCTCTTTTGGGTTGTTTTTATGGATATTGTTGTTTTTATGAATTTTTGAATTTATTGGTGACTTTTGGGTTTTGTTCCATTCTTTTTAATTTGAATACGTTGGTTTTGACCCAAATCAGAAATTTTGCACCTCTTGATGTTTGTAAACGTGGTTGTTCTTTTGAAAATTTGAGTATCAATTGCGATCAGTATCGATGACTTGAATAGTGATCTTAATGTAATGATATGTGTGTGCAATTCCGATGAGGCAAATTTGAGTTGCATAAGTCATATGTGAACTCTTAGAATCTCATTATGACTGGTCGGTTGTTGAAAATGAATCCTTCGTTACACCATAACTAAAATTGTAGAGTATTTGATGATTGTGTTGAATTTCATATGTGGTGAGGTTGTATTGGAATGTGTTCTTCATAATACCTAGAAATTGCCCCATTTGTCCAATCGACTAGCATAGGCGAATAATAGAGATGATCTTAGGCACAATTTGTGGAGAGTGAACCAAAATTGTTGTTATACCTCTTTGTGACCACCTTGTGAGAATGTGAACCTTGCTTGGTACCGTTTGAGCCTACCCTTTCTTTTGATGAAACTTGAACACATTTAACCTCTTTCTCTCCCACCTTAAATCTTTATGAAGCATTGGTCATTTTGAATAGTCAACTTGGTAAAAGCCTAAGTTGGTGGTGTGGCTTAAAAGGAGGAAAGTGAAGAAGTTTGAGAAATTAGCCATTGAAGTATCATGTTGAAAAAGATGGAACCCCTCCATATAAAAAAAAGAGACAATAAAAGTAAAAGAAGAAAAAGATCGAAAAATAAAATAGTTGTTGAAATAAAGTTTGTAAAAAGGATTAAAGAAATAGGGTATTCAATAAGTCATGCTTAAAAGAACATAGGGTGGATTGTGAAAATCGAAAAGATCGAAGGGAAATGAGAAAAAAAAGTGAAATGTAGGCCATGCTTGATGAAGGTAGAAGTCACTAAGCCAAAATTATCAGATATTTACCCTCAGCCCCGTAACAAACCTTGAAAGACCTTTGTGATCTTGATTAAGCTTAAGTCATGTTGATTGGAAAATACGTGCAAGCCTATGGGAAAAATCATGCATGTGTTTATCTTTTAGAGTGTGAGAGTTACTTTTAATACCAAAATTCTTAAACTTTCATGAACTTTGTGTGAACATGGAAGCATTCTTGATGTGAGGGCATTTCAATACTCTTATTGAGCTTGAACTTGCATTTGAAGCAAGTGTTGTTATCTTGAATTATATTTGATGACATCTAGTCATGGTTTGAAACTTGGAGTGCACAATTGAACATTGTGTGAGTAGATTGAACCTCATGTTCATGCATTTTATGTCTTGATTAGCACTATTTGTAGGCATCGCCGTTGAAGTGATTGATCTTGAGCTTTACTTGAGGTCAAGCAAAGGTTTAAGTTGGGGCATTGATAAGTCTGGGATTTCAACTCATTAGGCTTAGTAATCATAGTTTTAGTGCCTTAAATGCCTATTTTATGCTCTAAATTGATGTTTAAGTGTTATTTTTCATAAATAAAGACAAAGGAGCAAGGCAAGGACATTACCGGGCAAAAAGGAGCGGTAAGCTGAAAAGAATGAGAAAGGCACAGCTCGTGATCGCCAAGACCACTCACTAAACCACCGACTGATTCATCGGCTCACCAAAATTTCCAGAAGGCCACCCCTGGAAAAAGCTAACTCGGCGATGGAATGTTCCGCCGCCGACTGGATAGGTGATGGAGATCCTGATCACCTAAAGTCACAGAAAGTGAATGGTGAAGAATCATTTCAAGAAAGTAATAGAAGGGTAAATTTGGCGCATCACCGGATGGATTGGTTATGCTCGACTTACTTTGCCTATTGGTTCAAAAGTTGAAAATCTGGAAGAGTATAAATTCGATTTGTAAAAGATGAAAAAGGAGTTCTTTAGTTCCGAAAAAGTTCCCGTATATTCTATCTCTTTTTTTTAAAATCTAAACACTGTTTTTAGTATAATTTTAAGTTGGGTTTTTTCTTTTGAATTGATTCCAAGGACTGTGAATATTTACGATTTGTTATCCAGCTGATCGAGAACATAGTTAGTAACCTTTTATTGTTTTTTATAATGTGTGGCTAAAAACCCCATTATTGGGAGGGGGGTTATTATGTGATTAAATGTTCTAATTAGCTTATGGGTGTTAGTATTTATTGATTTAAATGTTGATTTTAAGTGAGTTCCATTGACATTTGTGTTTTTTAATTCATGAATTGTAGTTGTAAATACAATTCTACTTTAGAATTCTAGGCTTGCTTGGGAAAAAAGTTTCAGAATTAAAACTCTCAATTGATGATTGTACTGATTGGATTATTGTTGATTCAGCTTGAGAAAGTGAATCTGAATTTGATCCTACCAATCTAGCTCGAAAGAGTAGATTAATTACGGTTTTAGGTTGTTCATATTGTTATGTTTGTCAAGGTTCGAGAGAACTCGCTTGATTTGTGGTAGTTGATCGAGAGATGGCTACTACATCTAAAGCCTAGCCTACTCACTAAGATTCATCATTTTTAGTAGATAATAATCACCCATATAGAGAAATTGGCGTTTAATCGATCATATTTTCAAAGATCCCTCTACTTGATTACCCCCTATTTTCGTAGTTGTTAATCACTCACTTTAATCCCCCCCCCCCCTAATTGACACTAGTTGTCAACCCCTAGAACTTAATTAAGTTGTTTCGATAATGTCTATTCCTATAATCGACTGGAACACTTCTTTTACTTCGTAATTGAATTATCTATTGTATCACTCCATATGGGATCGACCCCAAATCTTTGTTGGGTTTATACTTGATTGCGATCACCTACACTTATAATTGGATGAAGTGTAGTTGAGCGTTATCAGTAAGCCTCACCTACAGTTGTAGTAGCACTAGCCCCATAAGGTCAGCCTTCAGCCGCGACACCTCATGTTTAGGTACCAGTTAGGGGTACAATTATGGTCGGAGTTATCCCTCGAGAGGAGCAGAAGATAGTTTGAGTGTTATTGAGACTTGCACCATCGAGGTTTTCTAGCGAGAATGGGGAGGATGCTCATGAGTTTCTTACTAGTTGTGTGGGCGACAATATACTTTAGGCTTTATGGAGTGGAGAGGAGCAAACTTCACCGCTTATTAGCATGATGGGCCAACCAAGCAATGGTGGCATTTCTCCTTAGATACTAGGCCAACTGGGTCTATTTCAATGTCGTGATCAGATTTTTCTGAAGCCTTCTTGCCAAAGTTTATCCCACTGAGCATTAGAGATAGACTCTAAGATCAGTTCTTGAGGTTGGAGCAGGGATACATTACTTTATTTGAGTATGAGATGAGGTTTTACGAGCTCTCACATGATGCTACTATGATACTACTGTCTATGAAGTACTAATAGGCAATGAGGATAACACTTGTTTCAGCTTAAACCTGAAATGACTCACGAATCCTCGACTCATTAACCTGCGATAATTGTTTTGGATTGGTTATCCTTGTGAGAGTTAAAATCTTAAAGATAAGTGTTAGTAACCTCTAATCTATGTTGTTAATCTCTTTTCCTGGTCATTTGCCTCTTTTTCACACAAATCAAAATTTATGACGAGTTCTAACATTTCAACCCATTACAAGATAATCAAAGCAAAGAGATTAACAATGCATGCAACTTCGCCATTTAAGAATCACTAATTTGATTTAACCTATGTTAATTAATTCATCAAGGTTCCCACATCCCTAATTATGGGATTTCACATCCTTGCAAGATTCGGATCATAAGATTCTCCTAATTCATTATAAGCAACGTATAAAAGTTGGGTAGAAGAAATGAACTTGTATTAACCATTAAACAATCCAAACAGTACCAATAATATCCGAAAATTAGGAAAAATGATCAAAAGTTCCTTTACTCCAACGTATGTCAGAATATTCTTACTGAGTAATGTGTAAAATAAACCCTAAGGGAAGTACTTATAGACATTAAAAGTTGACTCTAAACAAATTAGGAAATTCGGTTGCGACACATCCCACAACTTGTCTCACGACTCGTCAATGCGCCCATGATTCGTCGCTGTGAACCGTGGGGTCTCGTTCACCCTTTTCTTCCGCCTTAACTACCTAAATCTCAGTACTTGGAATGACAAGTTATGACACACTCCACATTTCAAGGGATACATATGTTTAATCCCATATGGTATCTGGTATTTAAAAATAAAATTCCGAATATCATACCCAAGAGAGTTACATAAACAACATATATATGATATTCATAGGAATCATAACTTTTCATATCTACAACCATACCGAAGTATAATTACATAATCATACTGAAGTATGTAGTTACATAATTAAAATGATTATAATTTCCTTTTCATTTTTGTGTGTGAATAGAATAATCCAATCTGTCCTTTATTAGAAACGGATGGTTACAATTACTTGTCATGGTGCATCAAAAGCCTCGTTTAGAATATGCTTATCCAATCTACACAATCAAGTGATAGCCAATAAATTGAAAGGGAACTGCCAAGTGGCCTTATAAAAATCAACAGATTGGTAGAAAGGAATCTATTTTCTCATAAACTTGCAAAATACTTCTTAGTTAGTAGCACAGCAAACATGACTAGTGCAGCAACATCTTTTCATTCTTGTTTATGTTTCTCTGTTCAGAAATTACCATCACCATCGTCATCAGCATCATGTTCAGATCAACAAATGAGTCTTTTATCACCAACAAAACCAAAATCAATTCTTCAAAACAACCCACTTTATCAACCAACACACAAGAACATCTCATTGCAATTCAAAGAGAAAATCTTATGCTTAGAAATAATGGGTGTTGATTCAGGGAAAGCACTATCCCAAAACCCCTGTCTTCACACCGCGTCTTTACACGCGATTCATTCCATCATCACTTTCCTTCAATCCAAAGGACTTTACCAGAAAGACTTTGCGAGAATAATCGGAATGTGTCCAACAATTTTAACCTCAGATATAAGATCTGAACTCAACCCAGTATTCAATTTCCTCTCAAAAGAGTTAAGAGTCCCTGAAGACAATTTCAGAAAGGTAATCAACAAATGTCCAAGATTACTCATTTGTAGTGTTAAAGATCAGCTCAAACCAACTCTGTTTTATCTTCAAAGACTTGGATTTACAGATGTACATCATTTAGCTTATCAAGATCCAATATTACTCGTTTCTAGTGTCGAAAATACGTTGATACCAAAGCTTCACTATTTGGTAAGTTTAGGATTTACAAGAAGAGAAGCTGTTGAAATGACTTTGAGATGTCCGGGACTATTCACTTTCAGCATTCAGAATAATTTCAAGCCAAAATTTGAATACTTTTCACAAGAAATGGAAGGTGAATTGGATGAATTGAAAGATTTTCCTCAGTATTTTGCTTTTAGTTTGGATAAAAGAATAAAGCCAAGGCATATTCAACTTGTAGATAATGGAGTTTCAATTCCATTGTCATTAATGCTCAAGACTACTGATGAAGAGTTCAATCACTTGATAAGCCAAAAAACTAGATAGAACTAAATTTTTTTTCTTTTTTATTTGTAAATTCTTTGCTTTGTTATTCTAATGTATTTTCTAACTCTTCACCTCACTAAAGCTAATGCATATATTATTTTTTTTGGCATAATGATTTGATGAACCCTTATACTTGTATCATGTTGTATTCTGGATCATCCTACTTAATCATTTGTCATCTGAGCTTTTAAACTCAATAAAATACAATTTAATAAATACCTCTGACCATTGACCACGCTTATGTGACACTAAAATATCTGAGTTGGCAAAAGTGTGTAACTTCACGCTCTTAAGGCGAGTGAGTGACATTTTTGGGTTTAAAAAAATTAAAATTATAAAATAAATAATTTTTTTAAAAACAATTAATAAAAAATTCCTTCTTCTTCGATCTTCATCAACTATCCCATCCTTTTTGCCATCTTCATCCAAAATCTATGGAGTGAGTCATAACCACCGTCGTCGCCATTTTTGCCGGCGAAATCGTTATACTCTCTCCCTCACCTGTCTACATCTCCACTGCACACCATCACCATTTTCCTTTCCTCCTCCAACCTCCACAAAATCAACAACCTAAGTCATCCCACCACCAAATCTGGTTCAAAAAACTCTACACTGCCATCACCTCGCACCCTCACCCATCTAGTTCTCCTCTACATTGACCAGTGCCGCCTCTCTCTCCCTTACTCCATTGTGAAATAATAGTCTCTACGGACAACAATTCAGCGCTCAGACGCCAATGCCACTTCTCTCTCACCACTATGATTCAGTGCTTCAATGAATACCACTAATGTCACTTTCTCCTTCCGCAATGAATTAATGGACTCAAGTTATACCCAAGATCTGATAAGTTGATGTTAATAGATTCTGAAAAAGGAAACAAAAAGGTTGTGTTTGGGATGAAAATGGCTAAAAATGATTATGAAGAACGGAAAAAAAAGTTGGATTTGGCATGAAATTTCTTTATGGATTTTTGCAATGCAATTGGAAATTGGAAGAGAATTTTTTTTCCATTAACAGCTTCACCACTTTTTCTATCATTAAACAAACATATTAATTGATCAAACAGAACATATAAAAGCATATGAAAATGCAAAACGTGAAATTGAAGTAATGAAGCTCAAGAAAAAGTTGAACAAAAAATGGTAAAATAATACTCTAAAGAATAAATTAAGGTTTTATTATTTTATTTTTTATTAAATAATTTTGATTTATAGTTTTTAAAAATAGTTATGAAATAATTATGGCATGACATTAATATATCTTATATGGATATGACATGTCATTTATGTAAAGGAGAGTGAGCTACACACATGGTGGGAGGGACTTAAAAGTCCCATTTTAATTGAGTTTAAGGGCTCAATGACAAATGATTAAGTAGGAGGGTCCTGAATACAAACTGATACAAGTAGAAGGATTCATCGGATTATTTCGCCTTTTTTTTATATGATTGATGATCTACCAATCTTTGTTTGTTTTTCTTATTATTTGATTTTAAAAAGTCACATTTTTATATTCAAAAATATCTTTTTTTAATATATTATTATCCAAAAATAACAGACAAAAATTAGTATTTATATTTATTTATTATTTTTTTAAAAAAAAAATAGTCTTTTCTTTTAAATAGTGCTCCTACATAATTCAAAATAAATGGACCTATTTGGGCCTTTTTGATTAATTGTTCTTTTTAAAAATGTTTAAGAAATTTATGTTTTTTAGTTATATGATAAAATTTCAGGAATTTACATACATCCTGCTAATTAAGAATTTAATTACTTAGATATACTCTAATTTGTAATATTAATATCCTACCAAATTTTGGAACCTACAAATATGTCTAGATAAGTGTATCACAAATATAGAGATAATTTATTCTAGATACATTGTTTAAAAGTCAATTCACATGTAGATGTAATAATAGTATATAGGGTAATTAAGTATGTCTAGTTATCTAGTTTTTTCGTAAAATTTCCAACTTAAAGCTTTAGAGAAATCCTTAAAAAGGAAAGTGGCAAATTGCTATGTAAAGAGTAACAAGTACCCTCTGTTTAGAAACAGCGACTGATTATTTTTAGGGGCAAATTAGCTTGTAACATATTTCTGTAAAAAAAAGAAGAAAAAGTAGCAATCCAAATATTGGATCGAGCGAAACGATATAGAAAACATTTTAGTACCGCATCCAGTTCAATAAAAACATATATTTTGCAGCGTAAAACATGCATCTATTCTTTCAAGTTTACAAGCTTCAATCATTGGATAAAACATTGATATGGAAACTCCTTGATGCTAAAACACTTAATGTTTGACAATAAACAAGTCCATTTAACAGCACAACAGTATCTAATATCCAGCAGCACATTGTTATACACATCGGTAACCCACGGACATCACACATTCACACTCCAAAATCAAGTTGAGACAATACCTGCACCATTAAAAGGACAAAGAAACATAAATTTAATGCTAGCTGTTAGCAATTCGAAATTAGTCATTTGTTGAAGCTTTCTTTCCATATAAAGAAAGGGAACAGGAGGGATTGTGTAAAGCATTTATGAGTCCCTCTGATATAGCTGCAATTTCCATGCACAACAACATAACCAGTGAAATCCACCAAGTGGGGTATGGGGAGAGTAGAGTGTAAGCAAACGTTACAACTACCTCGTGGAGGTAGAGAGGTTGTTTACGAAAGACACTTGAAAGAGACACAATCAGACACGACTACTTTCTATGCTAGGAGACATTGCACATCCACTAAAGATGAGTTCTGAACCAAAATGATGTTTTATCCCCAGAAGAGCTAACCTAATGTGAAAAAACAAAAGTAAGCACTTCTACCGAAGCACATTAATCGCAATTTCATGCACTATGTATGATTTGGCTGACAGCCCCACTAAAGGCCGTTAAGAACCTTTGTCCTTGTGCTATAATTAACAGTGTGGAAGGGAAAAGATGCTGCCATGAAGGTCACGGCTTCAAGCCTTGCAAACAGCCTGCTGCAGAAATACAAGATAAGGCTTCGTACAATAGGCCCTTGTGATCAGGCCCTTCTCCAGACCCTGCGCATAGCGGGAGCTTTAATGCATTGGGCTGCCCCTACAAGTAACAGCGCTCACTTTTTTTTTTACATTGGTTTTGTTCTTCTGACAACAAAGGCATCATTTTTGTTCCTAACTCAAGGCTCCTCCTATCAGCCACCCCATATCCCCCCCCCCCCCAAAAAAAAAAAAAGCGACCACCTTCATGTCTATTTGACCACTGACACATAAGAAGATCATGCATCTAATAATCCCCATTTATATACAAGTAAAAAGCAAATACCGGCATATCCAAACACAGTCTGGAATAGGTAATTAGTTAGTGCAGTCATCATAGTATATTTATACTAACCATCTTTTACTTCCTCTCCTGCTTCATCCCCCAATTGCCAAACAATGTCTTTCAATCCGGTGGACAGGTTCTTGTAAAACTGTATAGAAAAGATTAACTGTATCAGCATAAAGGCACATGCATGGACAAACCTGATATAGATATAGCTCAACTCTATCAATACAACATAACCATTTTAGAGATTCATAGATAAAACAACGAACTGCCTTGTAAGACCAAATGTCAAACATCACGTCAAGTCTTCTATGCATATAGCAGTAGTGAAAGTACTTGAGTAGATTTAACCAAAATCCACAAATAAGCAGCGATTTAACCAAAATCCACAAATAAGCAGAGCCAGCTATCTGTCTTCACTTCAACTAGAGGTTCCACTTAACTTAGTTAGCAAACCACACAAGAGAGGTCTCATGTATATCTGTCAATAAATCACTAAACACGGCAACAACTTCCAATTTGGTTTACCTTGTGAAACTCCAAGGTATCTCCTCCAGCCTTGCGAAGCTCAACCATGTAGAGTGAAGGTGCCACCTCATAAATCTACAGCAGACTCAGTGTCGGAAGTTGTATTAGAAGTTTGAATGACAATGAAAAACTTAGCAACCCTGAAGGTCCTTCGAACAAACATACCTCAGTTGCAACATTCAAGTGACCTTTGCGCCCGCTCTTCTCACCTTGAAGCTTAATCTGGTACAGAGGAAGACGGAAATTTTATCATGAATGAAATCTTAACAATAGCAAAGAACCAACTAGAGTATTAGAACTTTGAGATCCTAAATAATTTCAACCTGCTCATATCTATAAGAACTATACTTGATTGAAGAAACTGAGCAGTTATTATATAGAATAGAAAAAGAGAAGAAAAATGTATCGCGAATAAAATTTTAATAATAGCAATGAACCAACTAGAGTATTGGAATTTTGAGATCCTAAAGAATTTCAACTGCTCATACATTTAATAACTATGCTTGATTGAAGAAACTTAGCAGTTGTTAGGAAGGAAAAATATGAACATTACAATGCTGAAATGAGTATTAGAGTTGCCTGAAAACCTATCGACAACTCTGAGCAACATTTATTCAAATCACAACACTTCTGGAAGACTTAAAATTAAAGAAAACAAAGGGTCTGTTTGGAAAGTCACCTCGTAAGTGGAATTGATGTAATTATTAGGATAGTATAACACAACCTAGTAATTACGATGACTTGTTTGTGCCACAATGTAATTACAAGTGAACTGTAAGGTTATATCAAATTTTAAAAATAAAAATTGATTATGTAAAACTAAAAATTTATATTAGATAAATAAGGGCTTTTATAAATGATATAAAATTATATTTAAGTATATATTGTCTTTTATTAATATATTAACTAATAAACATATTCTCTTAACTAATATTACAACAAAAAATTGACTTATAGCTGACAAAGTAATATACTTTAACCAAATTAGAAGTACAAGATTTCTATGAACATTATGAAATGCATATTTGACAAAAAAAATTAATATTACAAATATCATGTCATAAAATTATCAAAAGATTTGCCAAAAAGATATCAAGTCAATATTACTAAAAAAATGAAACTAAAATAAAAAAATTAATATTATACTTTTATGTCAAAATTTCACATAACGTACATAAATATGATTTAAAAGAAAAGGAAAAAGCATGTCTATAACCTTATTCAACAATGAATATTACTCTTTGATTTGAAAATTAGAATACTAAC